AACATGATTTCAACTATCATGTTATTATGTCAACTATGCATGGGGATTGTACTGACCAAACACCTTCATATATTGATATAAATACGATGTTCTCGTATTCCGTACTTTGTTCCATTGCTAACGTATCAATATTTATTAAAAATATCACATGTTAATTTTATGAATATATTTTGAACGTGACAAGCTTCGAAAGTCCGCCACTGACATCGATTTTGTGAGGATCTATAGACATAATTTGAATGTTAGATCACATGTTTTGTAGTAATACGTGTTAGCAGAGCCAGCATGTGATGGGGGGGTGTCGCCTGCCATATATTGTTGCACGCTCATTTCAGTAAAATTGTTATAATTTTTAAAATAAACACAATAAGCAAGAATGAATTTCTAATATATTAAGCACTGAAGATTGGAATACATTGCAGCGTCTGCGCTCTGTCACATTGGCTCAGTTATTGGAAGCTGAGTGAAGATTTTGAGTAATATCTTGGATTGAAGGGCGGTGGTCATCGCGCGCCACGCGAGATATGGATCTCGTAGGAACAAAAATATTGACTTTTACTGCGCAGACCAACGAGTAAAATCTGGGATGTAAGCAAGTTTTAAATATACAATTTCTTTAATGATTGGAAGGTACCAAAGGGATATCGGGAATTAGTGCACGTCGCACCAAGGTCAAAACTCGTACCAGTGATTTTCTCTTGAAGAACGCATTGGATTGTGGGAAAATAAATATTAATCAACACAAATGTCACACATGCATGACGCGACGACCACTGCCCTTTAAGATAGAGGACTATCTCGCTTTCAAAGATTTTTACTTTATACTCGCTTCGGGATTGCATCCCTCTGTCAGTCTAAGCGATACTCAGGCTGAATACCGGTGCCAGTGGTTCTCTGTTATGTATTCATATTACCACGCCTTCATTTGAACTGTGCTCTCATTTAAATTAGATATTTACGTCAGTTTATTATTCAATACTGGGGTAGGAATACAGACATAATACATTGCCCCAGCCAATACAATTACATGCGGTAAACCCATATATTAAAGGGCGGCAGTCGTCGTGCCGCGTCCTGTTCGATATGAGACTCATAGCGACGTATACAACGCGTGTAAAATACATTGTTTATTTACATGAAATTCGAACACGCGCTACGCGACGATCCCTGCGCTTTAAAGAATGTGTAAAGTGTATTTTAGACGATTAAACCAAAGCGTCGTGATATGCCGCTACAAGCAACGAGTTGGAACAAGTAGGTCGTTTTGTCCGTAATCACAGTTGCGTGAAAGTGGACAGGCTGTCAACAATAGATGTTATTTCCGGGATCATGTGAGGTCATTATTCATAAAAGTATTTCCAATTCTATTCACTCTGGTCAATAAAACTATCGCCGGTGACTGGGAGTTCATTGTTCACTAAAGCGAATACACTGAATAAAGTACGCTCATGTTGGGTCTCAATGTATCTTTCGATGATTTCAAACAGCCTGTGTTTTTTTTAAGTGGGCTGCTCCCTAACTCGTACACTATTCATACTTATAGTTGTGGAAGCTGAATATGTTCTTAGTATATCAACACGTTTTCTACGTTTCGAAATCCCTTCCGTAGTCTTGGGTCTCTTCGGTATATAGCCAAATCTCGCCGAACTACTTCACAACAGACTGCAATTAAACTCATCGCATTTCCTATAGACTCACTTATAATGTTCCGTGAGGCAATATAATATTAACTAGCCTAAGTGTTCAAATGTGTATCCCGCGTCGGGTGGGCTGTAAATTGACTTCCGGTGTATGTGTGCTGCCCTCAACGGATAAACACGAATTGACTTCATATATACCGTTCGTTACTTCATAAGTGATGGATTAACCAAGAAATGCCCACAGATCTTATGCGTCCGGACTACTGAGGGTAGTGCCGCGTCATTTCGAACGGAATATTCCCCGATCGCACTAATATTCCTCACGAAATTAATGAGATGGTGGCTAACATTCGTAGCGGTGTACGTACTTTAACCCCGGTGGGGGGAGGCTACTGCCTGCAATTTACCTTACGCGGATGTGCCGTCCTTTGGGGGTGTTTTTTCAGCCATCTGGTCTTAAATACACAAAATTTAAGGATTTGGTCTAAAATGGGGTCCACAATGACTGATGGTCAAATGGGCATGAGTCTAAAAAGGGGTTTATTTGTTCAAACATCATTTTTACTTTTTTGTGTAATTCGTGTTATTTTCCCGATTTTCCAAATGTTTCTGATAAACATATTATGCCGTGTGTGTCCCCTATGACCTGTCATTGCATTGACTTTCAAGAAAATGTTTTAGTCAACTGGGGACTTCCCTGTGTTCAGCTATCTATAGTTTTGATAGAATGCATGTATACTTGTATGGTTAAATACAAAGTATATGCATTTATTAAGATAATTTCGGTCTACTTTTAATATGCCAAGACCAAAATGGGGTTAGTGGACAAATGGCGGGTCTAAAATGTTTTCTATAAATAGTATTGATATACACCTGTCCCCGTAACGCCATAAGTTACAGCGTGCCGTAAATTTGCGTTACTTCACGGGGTATTTTCATCCTACCATAGAAGGAAATGCGAACTTCAAATATAGAATGATTACGCGCGTAAGCGTCCTCTGCTAATAAAAACAAACATGAATGTCATCGGTGCTTGACCGGACCCAAGGAGGGGGGGGGGGTCATCCTATATTGAAACATTACACCATGTGCGTTCTTGCTAAAAAAAATAATAGGCCCCTAGAACTGGCAGCACATTGGCAAACCATAACCCTATTGCAAACGCACTGTAAATTTGGTACCCCCTTAAGCAAACATATTGAAGAAAAATACACCCCCTATTTCAGACATATATTGAGAACATTCTACCCCATATTGCGAGCACAGGAGTGGAGTGTGATTAACTCAAACAAGCTACTAATGGTTGGTGTGTATGCAACTCCTGTTGGTGTCATTCGTTGTTTTATGGGTCCGCCCATTCGGGGCCTACGGCGTTGTATTGCAGTGGTTGTTGCAAGGGGCCTACAGCGGGCGCTGCAACCCTGTGTGTTTATTCCCGGGGGCCTATTGCAGACATTAGCATTTTAAAGGGGGCCTATTTACCTCCCGCGCAGGCTCACTTTAGAAGGTGACAAACACCGCCATTTCACGCTGAATTTGGAACGCACATAGGGTAGTAACGGCATATAGAGTGATCCCTATGGGGACCGGACTCAACATAAAGAACTGATTTTGTTCTAAACTTTTTGGATTTCGGCATTCCCATGATGTATGCACTCGCGCATCGACAGTACGCCGCGTATCGACCTCCGCTGTGCGTCGGTCGATACTCCAGCTGTACTGTCTACGTGCATACTTTGAGGTATTCTCGTAGTAACCTTATAATATTGTAAAACACTCATAATTTATGTTCATGCATAGCAGATTACTGAATCACCATACTCGTCAACGATCAAGTACATTCTCGTGTAAATATGTAAGTGACCAAATACTGTAAAACATGTCTTTTTCGCGAGCATGTCTTTTTCGCGAATTTAGCGAGAGAACTGATTCGCTAATTCAAGATGTCGCTAATGACTTGATTGTCAATTCAAAATGGCCGCCAAACATAGAAGTCAACAATGACAAGAGAGATTCGCTAAATCATCATTTCGCTATGTGCGTTCTTTTTAAACAATTGAAAGACATTGTTTCGGATGAGCCGTGACTAATTATACATATATGATCCTTGAAAAATATTTGAAACATGAACTATAGAGTCTTATCGAAGTTGGTTGTACATGTAGAACTGATATAATTACATGAGACTAGGAAGATCAATCAAATAAATAACCTTGTCAAGTAACTGCTTATTCCCAGGCACCGTGAAATTAGGGTAACGTTGAAGAAACCTGGTGTCACGATTCCATGGTTTTCACTGGAACTGTGGACGCCGCGGCGACAACGATATAAGCACGGGTGACAGTGTCAAATGATTTAATGTGAGGCAGTTTTAATTGCGAGAAAGCAAACAGACAGACAGACAGACAGACAGACAGACACACACACACACACACACACACACAGACAGGCAGACAGACAGACAGACAGACAGACAG